GAGAGAGAGAGAGAGAGAGAGAGAGAGAGAGAGAGAGAGAGAGAGAGAGAGAGAGAGAGAGAGAGAGAGAGAGAGAGAGAGATATGCAGTGAAATGTTTCCAGAACTGATGTAGGAATAAATGGTGAAAATATAGATGCTGAAGAATGTGAAGGAACAGAACCAAAGTAATTTTTATGAGAGTTTTGAGAGGAAACTGACATATGTTTGCAATATGAATGGTAAATTCTACATAACTCAAAATCTGTATATGTGGTTAAGACAATGAAAGGTTTCTCTGAAAATGAGTGCTTGTAACAAAAGCTTGACATTACATGTTAGCTATTGAAACATGAACTGCATTACAAATTTTCCAGTTATGTGATCATAATGTAATCAAAAATGAATGTCTGGAAATGATATAAAAATAATAAGCAGATAGTACTGTGTGCATTTTTGGTTTTAAAAAATAATCAGGCTGACTAATACAATCAAGAAATCTAGCCATTCTCACAGTACAAAATGTATAAGGAAAGAAAAAAAATAAGTTCCAGACAATGTCTCTTGTGCTACTTAAGACAAAATTTCAGTTGTATGACTCAAAACTCCCCACAGAAATGCTTTAAACTGTAATTGCCCCAGAACTGTGTGTGCATCACAGTTGTCACATTGATAATTAACAGACAATTCCCTTTATGACCCCACATTAAAAACTTTACTGATGAAGGAAGTTAATACAGGGTGGTATATCCAACACATTGCACAAATATTTTATTTTTACTGAAATTGAACACTCCCACTTAAGAGCAGCTGCAACAGTATTTCTGTAAGACTCTCACATTATGAAAGCAAAAATCCTTGGCACTAACAGAAGATATCCTATTACTGCAATCCTTAAAATAGCTACTGGATAAGCACTATAAGGCCATAATGCCCCCCAAAAATTGATATATGAGAAACCTATAATGCATTAAAAGGCTACTGCATGACTATAATTCTGTACTTGCATGACAAAAAAAGATATAACCTTACCTTCTTAACCTGTAACTTTGTGTCAAACACCACAAGCTTGGCACTGAGAGGAATGAGGTCGTATGTGTGGTGGAACTTGAAGAACTTGACGAAGATCTGTGATTCATCTTGTTCTGCAAAGTGAGAAGATAAAAATTGTTAATTGGGAAATCATGGGGCACTGCATGAGCTGCAAAATTAAGAGTAATTAAAAGACAAAACAGATTTAAAAAAGAGAAAGCTGGAAATTAAAAACCTATTTAGTTTTACCAACTAATACCTATAAAATAGATAAGAAAAAATGGAACTTGGATTTTTCAATCAAATCCATGGCTGCCATATCTGAAAATACACCTCCCTACAAACAAACAATTACACAATTCAGTCTTTTCATATGAAACATTTTACTTGAATAATAATCCATCCATTAAATTGGTCTTCCTTTTGATATTTGCCCTTATAGCCACTACAACCTCCTTGTTTACCAAAAATCACATTCAACAAGGTATAAATATCCAACAAAGTAATAAATGTCCGCACATGCACACCGTATTAACCCAGTAACAGAACGTATATTGCCAACCAACGCCTTGGCACATAATGCGGCCTTTACATCTAATAATAGTGGAAATAAGATTACTTAATCTCTTGCTAGTGGATTCCGACTGTCACTGAATCGCAACAAGAGAGCCACAAATCTTATAAAATTGTTCTAAGAATGGAAGATACCCTTGAGGGTTTCTGAGAAGACTCTGAGAGGTAGCTATCATAACGAAGAAGAAAAGAAATGAAAAAGAAAAAGAAAAAGAAAAGAAGAAGAAGAAGAAGAAGGAGAAAAACAAGGAATGTTACGTAGAGTGCCAAGAATTATTAACTGGCTGACCTATGGCAAACAGAGACTTCTGGTGCTTGTCAAGAGTCGGGTCATGTGGTTCAATGACAAATCTTGACTAATAATATTTTATAGAGATCTATTACCTCTGTCTTATAATATGCTTTACAATGTTTAGATAGGAAAATTTGACAATATATATATATATTCATCTTACTCTGTTAAAGAATTACAATACTAGTATATTCATAATTCAGTAATAACAGTGCATATACCTTAAAGAAATTTAATATATACCCATTAGCACCAACTTTTATATCCTGTTCATTTAACTATTCGTAGGCAATGAACTCACAATATGGATTTCCTGATAAGCATCCATTTTAGGAAAATGTGCACAATATTTATTTTTCAAAAATGTGTTTTTGAACCTCATGAATATAACAGCAAACAATAGAGGGCACTGGAGAAAATCTGGCAATTCAGCTTAAATATTTCTGGTCAGCATTTCACACTAGAAACAGTCTATCAAATGATTTCCCCCCAAAAAATTATCTAAAATTATTATCCTTATCACCTATATTATTAAAAGATAACTAGGATTTCATCTTTATAGGCTCCAGTGCACTAATTCATCACCTCACACTTCATTTGGCAGAAGTCCCTATCTGCTTGAAGCTTGACCTTGTCTGCCCTTCAGCCAAGTAACCTGTGATACAGTCTTCTTTTCTAACAAAGTCTAGCCTTCTTACAGTCTTCACGGTATTTTTTAATTAAATGCAAAGGATATTCTCCTAATACCAGCTATATTGTACTGTATTTTTTCATGTACTCTTGTCATGAAACAGATGTGAGAAATGATATCCTCTGATTAAAGCAATCATATTTATGTATACAATTATACTGCATAGCTACCTAACACAATAAAATGGAGAAAAAGGAACACCCAAATTACACTTTGAATTAAATCAAATATTTTTCACATGTCAACAAACTACAAAAGAAACTCTGTTGTTTCAATTTACAACAAACAATCAAACTACACATCAGGGCTAAAATACTACTAATTCTATTTGCCAAATTGTCCTGGATGCCAATTCAAATGGTCCAGAATGAAAAATAGAAAATGTTTAAACCCAGACAAGCTTTTAAATTGTTTTCAAAAGGAGCCATGTAACCATGGTCTGTCTACAGTTGCATGAAGTATATATTATAAGCTATTTACACATTTCATTTGGTTTTATTATGTCCGTGAGAGGAGTTGCAGCAAGACTTAGGTTTAAGGGTTGAAGTCTCATAATAATTTCAACCTGTCAATAGATATACACTGGAAAAACATGGATGGGGAAAAGAAAAGAAAAAAAAAAGAGAGAGAAAAAAAAGAAGAAGAAAAAAAAAAGCAAGCAAGCAAGTAACCTTAAAGAAATTTAATATATACCCATTAGCACCAACTTTTATATCCTGTTCATTTAACTATTCGTAGGCAATGAACTCACAATATGGATTTTCCTGATAAGCATCCATTTTAGGAAAATGTGCACAATATTTATTTTTCAAAAATGTGTTTTTGAACCTCATGAATATAACAGCAAACAATAGAGGGCACTGGAGAAAATCTGGCAATTCAACTTAAATATTTCTGGTCAGCATTTCACACTAGAAACAGTCTATCAAATGATTTCCCCCCAAAAAATTATCTAAAATTATTATCCTTATCACCTATATTATTAAAAGATAACTAGGATTTCATCTTTATAGGCTCCAGTGCACTAATTCATCACCTCACACTTCATTTGGCAGAAGTCCCTATCTGCTTGAAGCTTGACCTTGTCTGCCCTTCAGCCAAGTAACCTGTGATACAGTCTTCTTTTCTAACAAAGTCTAGCCTTCTTACAGTCTTCACGGTATTTTTTAATTAAATGCAAAGGATATTCTCCTAATACCAGCTATATTGTACTGTATTTTTTCATGTACTCTTGTCATGAAACAGATGTGAGAAATGATATCCTCTGATTAAAGCAATCATATTTATGTATACAATTATACTGCATAGCTACCTAACACAATAAAATGGAGAAAAAGGAACACCCAAATTACACTTTGAATTAAATCAAATATTTTTCACATGTCAACAAACTACAAAAGAAACTCTGTTGTTTCAATTTACAACAAACAATCAAACTACACATCAGGGCTAAAATACTACTAATTCTATTTGCCAAATTGTCCTGGATGCCAATTCAAATGGTCCAGAATGAAAAATAGAAAATGTTTAAACACAGACAAGCTTTTAAATTGTTTTCAAAAGGAGCCAAGTAACCATGGTCTGTCTACAGTTGCATGAAGTATATATTATAAGCTATTTACACATTTCATTTGGTTTTATTATGTCTGTGAGAGGAGTTGCAGCAACTTGCTAATGAAGACAAATCATATGAACAAAGAAAAAGAAAAAGAAGAGAAACATTACCCTAGTAATACCATCTACCTCATATTAGCCAAAATTTCCAAAATGAAACCAAAATTTACCTTCTTTTATTGAGTTGAGGAATTCATCAGTATCAGCCCGGTGAACAGGCTCAAATACCCTGATAAGTGACAAGGGATATTCTGACTCGTCATCATCAAAGAAGGGAGTCAGGTAGTTACTATAGGTATACAAACACATAGCCATTGCGCTTAAGAGCTCTCCACGTATATATGGTGAATTAATGTTATTTTTTGGCACTTAATAGGGAATGTTCACATGAAACTCTTGGTTGAAAATCTCTTTCTGGTCATGACAGCTGACACTGAAGATTTCTTTGGTTTACTGGTAATAGCACACTTTTTCTTAATGTTACAAAATAATGTTTCAACATGAAACAAATCTTTTTTGCATCCTTAAAGGTCTATCCATTATCTAAATAAAACATCTTCAATTTCAGAATTAAGTCATTTCCATTTCAGACGTACTTTACACTACAATAACAAATGAATACAACCACAAACAAACTTTCTTTGCCAGTAAACTAAACTTTCTACAACTGTGGTGTGTTCACTCCTGCCTCATACGTGAATCCTCCTGATACGTTCCTCCCTAAGACCGGCAAATAACACATGAGCGAAAGGCAGAGACGGGACACAAGCAACGCGATCGAGAGTGACTGTGAGCGTGAAGGGGGACCTTCCACAACCACCAGTGGCAGCCACACACACACTGGCTCTCTGCCCGTCTTCTTACACCTTCACCCGCTCACCCTTGGCACCTGCCACTGTCTCCCTTTGCTTTTTATTTCCTCTTTTTTTTAGTGTTTATTTTTCCCCACAGGACACACACACACAAAAAAAAGTGCTGTCACTTCAAGATGGATGAAGAAATTTCGTATCCCAAAAAAGAAAATTGTAATTCTAAATTCTTAATCTATTACTTCAAACAAAACACACCATGGATAACATCAGTACATCAAAATACCCTTAAAAAAAAAAACAAAACAAAAACATAACCTACTCAAATGAAAATACCGGAAAAAAAAGTTTCAACCAATTACAAACTCCATAAAATATCTGATTAGCTGACGTAATGAAGCCAAAGCCTTAGCCACACCCAAGAGATCTAAGGCAGTTTGGATAAAAATAGACCCCAGAGCAGCAACAGGCTGGCTCAGGGAAGGTGCCAACTCTGCTTCAATCTTGTATACCTTCACTGCATCCAATTATATATTTTTTTTTCCCCTCTTCCCCTATTCCCTTTTCCTCTCCCTTATTCCTCCTCCCCCATTCCCTCCAAAAATTAGGAGAGTTAATGGCACAATTTGGTAGAATGGTATTCCATGTCTGTTTGAGAGGACATAGTTATTTTAGATACTATCAAATCTGTCAAATGAAGACATTTTCCTTCTAAAACAAACAAACAAAAAACTATATATATATATCAAAGACTAAACAGTAAGAAAAAAAAAGAGGAAGAAAAAGAAGAAGAAGAAAAAGAGAAAAAGAAAAAGAAAGAAAACAGTAGTTAACATTTCCTTTTTGCAGGCAGAACTATGACAAAGTCAAATAGGATTTTCATCAATAAAAAAAATAAAAATAAAATGAATGCAAAGAGTACAAAAAGAAGAAAAGTAAAAAGAAAATAAAGGGCAGGAGAAGTAGCTAAAACCTTTGGCACCAAATCTGGTATCACATCAAATACCTGTAACTTACAACCTCTTGTTCTGCAATGTGATATTCAACATATGTATGCTTAAAGATATTTAGCATTATTCTGTTCTACATAAATTCAAATCAAATTCAAAATGAGGACTATCTACAGAGAATTCTTAAAAAAAAAAAGAAAAAAAGAACTAGAACTAAGAACTAGAGTATAACAATTATAATAAAGAATACCTAACTCCTCTATAGACTTTCTATCCAAGTCCCTACACAGCCTTTTCATCCTACACAATATCTAACAGATGAAAAATACTTCCAGTAATATGTGTACGAGTCTCATCTTCCTTTTATCACATTTTTGCAAGCATATGTACATGCATACAAATGCATAAAGAGAAATGAAGAGGTAAAGGGAAGAGAAAAATATACAGACACAAGCACAGACACTGGCGCAGACACAGACATACACCCTCACACAATTATCCCAGTAACAGGTTGTCACTCTGCCAACCAAGAGTTTGGCACCCTTTAGATCAGAGGAAATGCTAGTGATGGTTTAAAAAAAAAAAGTAACAAATTACACATGGGTATGCATATCGTGAATTTATAATTAAAGACAAGAGAAGACAAGACAAGAGAGAAGAGAAATTCAAATCATTTCCTACTTTAAAATTAATCCCTTTATTCTAACCTCCTAATCTCTCTTCTCTTTTGGTGCTACAATAAACAAAATTCCAAAAACAAACAAAAAAATGGATAAAAACTATGCCTTGACTTCCTGATTGAGAATACCAAAAAAAAAAAACTATTGAGTATTACATAATCTTAAAGCCTTATCCAGTTAGTAAGAGCGAATCCCAAGATATTCCACTTGGAAAAGCATCAAATATGTTCATCAGAGTGCCAAAGGAAATGAGCAAAACAACAACAAAACATTAATTACCAATCTTGATAAACAACAGCAATATCAAGAATATCTAATAAAGGAGCTATCACTGTGGTCAGAATCTTGACCTGATTTTTCCTGGGAAGGAGCCAAGATCATGTGAGTACGGGGAGTACTAATATCATTCATGAATGCGTCCCATATCCTTCTTTGATAGCGTAATATATACAGGCTGCATCTACATAGAGCACGGGATGACTTTCAAACAAAAGTTGAATGCATCCTTCAGTACAGTTTCAAGAACAGAAAAGTCCTAAAAATAAATATCAAACTTTCAATAGTCTTTATTCAAACATCTAAATGGCAATCAAATAGTGACATACCTAAATAATAACCCAATAATGCTAAATGGCACCTATTCTTGCCATGATGAACAGAGTTGAAATCCTGAATGACAAGTATAAGTGTCACTGCTCTATGTTGTGTGCGCTATACAGTTGTTCACTTGTTTGACCCTGACTGCAGTCAACCCTCAAAACTAGAACTGAGGTCTCTGTTTAGCCTTATTTCTTGAAAGCTGTGTATGCTGCAGCCAAAATTGCAGTGTGGGAAAAATATATTTCCAGTGATTCTAATTTATCACTTGAGTGGCTGATGTG